TGTTGAATTATTCTTTTCAGTTGATTGCTATTATTCTCAAAATTATTCTTGAAATGAGGATTAATGTAGCAATGCTTAAAAAACTTGAAATAAGCACCCTTTCTGCTTTCAGTGAACTTATACATAATGCACTGTCAACAAAATAGCTTTAATTACCATTCAATGTCATTGACATTGCTTAAAATAAACTTGCTCTAACTGTCACCAAAGCAGATAGCTCTTTCAATAATAGTATGTACATAATAAAATAGGTTGCTGTGCCAGTACTATTCTTTGTATTCCCAGGCTTTAACGTAATTGTATAAAGTAAACACGTGGTCAATTGTCATAGCAACTATCAATTGGTTTCCATGGTATTTAATTGAACTTCTTTATTAGTTTTTATCACAGCAACAGTTTTTATATCAACAAAGTGCTTTGAAAACTGTGCCAATGTGAAAAGGCCTTATAAGAGCAATAGCATGCATCAGAAAATGATATAAAACTGAATTAGGAGCAAAAACAGCTTAGTCATGAAATAGATCTATGGCTTTCACCAGTATTTTTAATACAAGCCTGAGAGTTAACAAGCTCTTTTGTGGTACAGATTTCAACTATTGTGAACAGGTAAGCATTAATAAACACAAATGACTTTTAAATTTTAATTTTAAAATGCAAACAAATAAACTGCTGATGTAGGAGTGTAGTGTGGAACGTAACCTATGAGTGTTTATAAAAACAGAGTTAATGAAGTACATGTATATCAGTAGTACTTGCTGCTAAATGAGACGTTTCATTGCTAGCAATACAATATCACATCATCACACCATCACACCACTATCACGCCACCTAGAGTCTATGTTACTATAAAACAAGCTGCACAGCTCAGGCAATTTCATTTCCATCATACGGTACTACATCCAGTCATGCCTGTTCTACTTATAGGATCCACTGGAATGGGAAAGAGCACCTTTGGAAATTACCTTATAAATCCAGACGAGGCACACATGTATGACAACCAAACCTTTCCAATAGCCACAGACAATACGCCGATGACACAAGATGTAAAAGTTGTGGACAAGAAAGTCCAAATTGAAGGTGGTAGAGACGTCTTCCTTCAAATAATCGATACCCCGGGGTTGAATGAAAGTGCTGAAAAAGATCTATCTCACATGATTGATATTATCAAAAAGTTGAATGAGTGTGAAGAAATCAAAGCTTGTATTCTCATTGTTAAGTTCAATGCTAAAATTGATGCACAATACAGAGCAACTTTGAAATATTACAGTAGGCTCTTTCCCGATCTGTTTGAAAGCAATGTCATTATTGTAATGACTGAATTCAAAACAGATGAAGATTCAAAAGCACTGAGAAAGAGGCAACGTATTGATGTCGAGCAAATAAAACGTAACACAATATCAGAGCTTTGCAAATGTTCTGATAAGAAACTAACATATTCACCACAAATATTCATGATCGACTGTCTGGCCATTCAGGATGCTGCAATAAAAATCAGCCAAAACGTACGTAGAGCAATCCTTGACTACATCTTTCAATTGCAACCAAAAAAAGTAAAAAATCTAATGGTAGCAAAGACCGATTACATCCAACAAAAAGATAATGAAAAGCTCAAGGAGCTACT